CGTAAGGGGTAACACTGTCGTTTTTTTTTTCGGGTCGAATTTTTGACTTTCTATATCTCAGCTCTGGAAGGGTCTAGAGCCTCCATATTTGCACTCAGGTTTAAGTCTTATGGCCCTCTATCAGAATCCAGAGTTTTGAGAAGATTGGGGAAACTTTTTTTTTGCCCAAAAAAAAAAACCGTAAGGGGTAACACTGTCGTTTTTTTTTCGAGTCGAATTTTTGACTTTCGATATCTCAGCTCTGGAAGGGTCTAGAGCCTCCATATTTGCACTCAGGTTTAAGTCTCATGGCCCTCTATCATAATCAAGAGTTTTGAGAAGATTGGGGACACTTAATTTTTCGCCCCAAAAAAAAAAAAAACGTAAGGTGTAACACTGTCGTTTTTTTTTTTCGGGTCGAATTTTTGAGTTTCGATATCTCAGCTCTGGAATGGTCTAGAGCCTCCATATTTGCACTCAGGGTTAAGTCTCATGGCCCTCTATCAGAATCCAGAGTTTTCAGAAGATTGGGGAAACTTTTTTTTCGCCCAAAAAAAAAACGTAAGGGGTAACACTGTCGTTTTTTTTTTCGGGTCGAATTTTTGACTTTCGATATCTCAGCTCTGGAAGGGTCTAGAGCCTCCATATTTGCACTCAGGGTTAAGTCTCATGGCAAAAAAATATTTTTTGTGTGTGTGGCTCAGCGCTGGCCAACGCGCGAGAACAAGTTTGATTTTATCAGCTGATCACATGATGCACTGACCGTTCTAATCACACCGGTGTGATCGTACACGTGAAAGGGTTAATGACAGTATTTTTGTTTACCAAAGTTACCTACTGCAGCTTTAATATCTGCTAACTCTTTATTTTAATGCTCCACAAACATACATTCTACTTAGTAAAGTAACTGTTAACTTATTCTAATAACCCTAGCCTAACAGTCTACTAATACTCTAAGGAGAGTTAGTTGACATGTAGTAGCAATGTTACTTATAGGATGTCTAGTTGCTGGACCATCTTGGATTTTAAATATTTTCGAAAATGATATGCTCAACAAGACTCCAATTATTTGATCAAAAATACAGTAAAAGTTAATTGAGTTCATTTAAAATCTAGTTTAATATACTGCATTTTAAAATGTGATTAATTCATGGTAGAATTTTCAGCATCATTACTTCAGAGTCACATAAATGCATCCTTTTAAAATCTTTTCTTACCCCAAACTCTTGAACAGTAGTGTACATTTTTAATTTATTACTTAATACCTATTATTTAATACTAATGTTTAATTTCTTTATAATTAACAACTATACACAAAAATTCAATAAACATTTAATTAATAAACATTTTTATGATTGAAAACATTCTTATTTTATTCAAAGGTTTTTAAAAGCTTTCCAATGTAATCACAATCTAATGAACATTGCACATTGCTTCTTAATGACCAGCTGTCACTGATTCATCTTTGTTTATTGATTTAGTGCCCATTCTTCATGTGTGAATGATTAGATTTATGCCATGAACTGTATATTATCGTACACAGCAGTGTAGTGGGTTGTTCAAATGCATGCTGATTGATTAAAAAAAGCATGTTATGCTGTACATGCCATCTTACACAGGTGGCAAATTCCTCTATTCAGCACAATTCGTAAGGAGTGTGCTTTTGCACAGCAGAGATCTTTATAATATTTCCATTTTCCTCTCACGGAAGGCGCACGCTCTTCTCATTGACTCTTCAACCTAAACACCGTCCTTCAACATGGTGATGCACTCAATTTATTCATTGGAAAAAAAAAAAGCAGCATTCTGCTGAATTTGTATTTCTGAGGGAAGCTGATGAGGAGGGGGAACATTCACTATATCAGTCTAACATCTCAACAATGGGAATGCCACAATGATGAACGAGACAGAGGTTTTAAGGCTGGCTGCCTCAGAGCCAGATACATCAGCATCTGAAGCTGGCTCAAAACATTTTTTCACTGATTAGGGACGCAAATATCTCGCCATTATAGCCAATAATCTTTTTGTATGTGTTCATATGTTCAAATTTCCTGCTTATGTCTTGTGAAATTGGGTAACAGTAAAAACAGGTTATTCGCATATGACAACGGATGATTTTGACAGCTTGACAGAGTATTGGAGCACCCAACGCATGTGGTGTCCAGGCAGATTAACTCATCTCTCTCCCAGCAGATGGACACATCATTTCCCTAATAATATATGTCTCCAGACCACATGGACCTATACACACGCTTTCAATCCAACCCTCAAAAGCATTAGCTAAAAAGGAGCTATGGAGAAAAAAAAAGGAATTCAGTGGTGCCCAAATAGCAAGATGCAAAATGTATTTTTCTAACACTGATTTCATCAGTGAGTGGTTTACATGAGTAGAACAAATGTGTGTTTAAAAGAATAGTTCAAAAATAAAAAATAAATAAATCTGTAAATATTCTCCGAATCTGTATGGTAGTTTTAGTTGAACAAAAATTAATATTTACTGTAGAGCAGAATGTCCAAGACATTTAGCTTTTTATCATACACTGATAGTTTTAGTGAATCCTAACTTAAAAGTGGTCTTTTCCTCGCACAAAGCTATTAAAGAGCTTCTGAAGACTTAGAAAAAAGTCAAACAAACTACTTTTATGATAATTGTATGGTGCATGTCGTCCATGCTGCAAGACTTTATATTTTAATGCTCCTATTTTGAATTTTACGGTGTACATTTTAGGACATTCTCAGACATATGAAGACAAGGCATCATGCCTCAGACTAAAAGGCTTCAGTCAAAATGGCATCGCATCTCAGACTGAAAAGCTTCAGGTATCAGGAAAAACAATGTCAGGTCTCGTACAATTAGGCATCAGATGAAACAGCCTCAAACAAAAAGGCATCAGACATAAGGCCTCGGAAGAAACGGCGTCGGACAAAACAGACTCTGACAAAAAGGTAGCAGACGAAATGGCATCAGACAAAAAGGCATCAGACATAAAGGCATCGGACGAAACGGCGTCGGACAAAACAGACTCTGACAAAAAGGCAGCAGACGAAATGGCATCAGACAAAAAGGCATCAGACATAAAGGCATCGGACGAAACGGCGTCGGACAAAACAGACTCTGACAAAAAGGCAGCAGACGAAATGGCATCAGACGAAATGGCATCAGACAAAAAGGCATCAGACATAAAGGCATCGGACGAAACGGCATCAGACGAAACAGCCTCAAACAAAAAGGCATCAAACATAAAAAAAGGCATCAGGCATCGGACGAAACGGTATCGGACAAAACGGAATCGGACGAAACGGCATCGGACGAAACGGCCTCTGACAAAAAGGTATCAGACATAAAGGCATCGGACGAAATGGCATCAGACAAACAGCCTTTGACAAAAAGCCATTAGACAAAGGCATCGGATGAAACAGCACCAGACGAAAAGGCACGGGACGAAGCGGCCTCGGACAAAAAGGCATCAGACGAAACAGCATAGGCCGAAACGTTTCTGAATGGTTGGTTAACGTAATGTCACTTTGATCTATTTTTGAATGTGGCAGGGTACGAGTATCTCAGTAGTGAGATACGAACGCTTTGTGTTTACTGATGTATAGGTTAGTTCGTTGACAGATTGATGTTACAGTTAATGGTCACGAACACATTTTTTTAGCGATTGGCAAAGATTAATATAAAGGTTAATAAAACGTTACACTGACTTCTTCTGGATTCTTTTTTCTTTTTCTACCGATTCTTTTTTCAGGAGCAGCTTCTTATAAAACCAGCTTTATACTGACCCTCGTTTATAAAGCAGTCTGATGAGTAATGACGTTGCTCGTGGGGAATATTAATTTCGAAAACAAAACTCAGCCACTGCGTCTTCAGCGGTTCAGATTTAGGAACATCAAAATTACTGTTCATTATTAAACCCAAGAACAGAACGACACAATCGCAATGTACCAACAATAGCGGACTATGATGACAGCTTGCTCAGTGCGGGTCTGTGTTGAAACGCGTTGAAGTCTCTATAAACGACTTTATAAACTAGGAAAATGTGATTACATTTGCAGATATTTTACTTGTGGAAAACTACAAGTAAATAGTTTTACATACCTGGAATACTATAAGAAATATTGCATATTTTTCTGCATCGATAAAACAAACAGTGGTTATTTGATAATCAAACATGCCTTCATAATTTGGAGTCTTGTTTTTGTTTCCTTTTATTGAAAGTAATTTTGTGTTAATATGCTCTGGTTATGGCAGTTTGCATCATTTTTTTGTGTTTTCACATGATTTTTCATGGTTTTATGTACTTATGCACTCTCTTTACCATTAACCTGCCAGGAACTACAGATGGAAATAAGCTTGTATAGCTAAATCTGGCACATTTACATCATGCACCTGAGTGCTCATCATGTTAATTAATGTGCATTGTTTATTTTAAAGAATAAAGACTACATGCGCTGTAAGCATATTTCACTTTAAAATGCAGTATTAATTTATTTGTTGGCATAACAGGAGAAGCATCAACATGTTTTAATAAACAAATACAGTAAGGTTTTGCTGACACAATTGTTTTAATAAGATGAATTCATGTTCATCAGCTACTTTATGCAAATCCACTCCCTATGCGGAACACAGCTTTACTAGTAATTCAAAATCACTATGGAAACCTTCCATGCTTAATTTATGTTCACTTAAAGTATTGAATTAAATCCACCAGTATGATTCCCAGCTAGACTAATGCAGCACCACATTCAAACCGTCTAACAAAACACTAATCGAGGAAGGGCAGCGGGATGTAAAAGAGCACGTAGAGCTAGTACATGCACAACAAATGTGTTGCCATATTATTGCTTTACACATTCGCCAGATTGATTTACTTTACCCAAGTGAAAGGGTCAGTGTTGCTCTTCGATTTATAAATGTACCAAACGGAGCTTCAGATGAAATCGTCACCCTCGTAAGTACGGCGAACATTTAAAGATGCTGTTTTAACTGATCTGTGGAGTGGGAAAGAGCTCTTTCTTACCTTGGTAATTGCAGATGTCTCCCACGCTGTTCTGACGTGTGATGTGGTGCCAGTAAGCGCTTCGCGGGAGAGATATCGACTTTGTTAATGTGTTCTCGTTTGAAAGAGTCTGTGAGGCAGAGCAGAAAATCATTGGGTTACATTGGTTATATTTCCAGTCAAATTACGCGGAAAGGCCTTGCACTGAGAAGATTTCAAAGACCGAGACTCACAGTAAACAGCATTAGGCTGTTTTGACCAAAGATGACAGGTGGAGTGTGATGTCATTACAGCCTCTTTTCGCAGCATTTTAAGAGAATTTCGTAAATTCGAACAAATAATACTCGTAGCGGGTCTCTAGATCAAGATTTCAGAGCAAGCAGCATTTTTTGGCAAGGGTCCTGAATGCGAGATCTGAGCGGAGGGCCATATGGTCAAGTCTCATCAGCCTTCACTGAAGGCCTTAGAGATGACAGCACAGATTCACTGCCAGCCAGATTTAAATAGTGCAGGAAAGACCATCCGCACCACACGACTGAACGATTCATCAACCTCGCTAGCTTCAGGAGGTTACAGAGAAATAACCAAATTTGTGTTTTCAATGATATGCTGACAACAAAAATGAAAAGATCACATTTCAAGGCATCACTGTTTAGACGCAGAAAGCTTTGAATGATGAAAAACTCTTGAGGCTGTTATTTCTGTTGTTATATTGCATCTCTAATCCATTTACATGTAGATGCTTTCATCCAAAGGGACTTCAGTTGCAGCTGAAGATATTCATTTTATCAGTATATGTGCTTGGGAATCAAACTCTTGACCTTGATTTTGCTAATAACGTGATACTTTATAGGAACACATAAGCACATCATTTTTCAAGGTATTCGACCAACAGTGTTCTGTGACCTGCGTGCTGTATAAGCAATGTGGGAAAACTTTGAAGGAATTCTAGTATTAGCATTCATTTTATTGATTTTTTATGTTTAAGATGCTTGTAGCATACAAGAATCTGAAATAATCACATATACGATACCATTCGAAAGTTGTTTTTTGCTTTCTTGAACTTTTTGAAAGCCCCTTGTGCCTATCAAGTCTGCATTTGTTTTTTGCATTTAGTTTTTTTATTTTATATATATTTTGAAAAGTAATTTATTCCTGTGATAGCTGAATTTTCAGCATCATTACTCCAGTCTTCAGTGTCACATGATCCTTCAAAAATCATGCTAATTCTAAGAAACATTTCTTATTGTAGATGTTAAAAACAGTTTTGCTGCTAAATTATTATTATTTATTTATTTAGGAAACCGTGATGCAGCATTGTCACTTTTATCAATTTAATGTCCTTTCTAAATAGAAATCTTACTGACCCCCACATTTAGACAGTAATTAATTTTTAAGTATTTAAAAATATTTGTAATTAATCTATGGTGATTGAATCCATAGTTTTTCCAGTAACTGTCAAAAGTTAAAAAAGATAAGAAGTAATACTCTGCATTTTCTGTGCTCATGGAGGTTATCATTATTATTATTATTATTTTATCAATGCAAAATGAATAAAGAACGCCAGAATCCCTCCAATTTGATCACTACAATTAAGACTCAGTTGTGAAATATGAAATATACTAATATTACACAATAATACACACAGCAAATTGAGACCCCAAGAATGCCGGGTACTCTGCACTGCCGTTTGGCCCGTAGGCGCACATGACAGTGAGAGACGTATCCCCGACCAGAAGGCGCAGGGAAGCAACCCTCTCGATTACCGGGGTGAACTCCAACATATGACGGCTGAGCTTGGTGTCTATAAGCAAACCCACACCAGCCCACCACCTCTCACCATGGACAACTCCAGAGTGGTAAAGAGTCCATCCTCTCTCAAGGATGTGTGGTTCCAGAGCCCAAGCCATGCTCTCAACCTTGCGCTCAGGCTCCTTCCCCGCCAGTCAGGTGACCTTCCACATACCTAGAGCTCATTTCCATGTCCAGGGATCAGGTTGTCGAGGCCCACGCCTTTGACTGCCGCCCGATCCACAAAGCACCAGCCCCTTATGGTCTTTCCTGCAGGTGGTGAGCCCATGGGAGACGGCCCCATGTCGCTCTTTCAGGCTGAGCCCAGCCAGACCCCATGAGGAGAGGGGTCACCAGGCGCTTGAATACAAGCCCTAACCCCAGGCCTGGCTCCAGGATGAGGCCCTGGCTGTGCCATGCCATGCGACGTCACAGTACTCGATTTTAACTCCATCACAAAGGATTTTTAACCCTTTGTTATAAAATTCTAAAGAAGAAATGCCTTTTTGCCCCAGTGTGCCCTATAGAGATTTGAGATGTGAAGTTTTACTATACCTGTGAGCTCTTCTCCATCTCCATCATCATACGTTCATGTTGCTCAGCGATGGACAGTGTGGCAGAGTGAACTCTCTGATAGATCATCTCACCTTCTCTGGTCTGGAACGTGAACAAACCCTCCCCTGTATCACACATCCTGTAAAAGCACAACACACATGCACACACACACACATCTAACCATTATTGCTTCCATTAGATTTCAGTACACTCACACACTTCTTGTAATAGGCTGAACAGAAGGAGTACACTTTAAGGGCAGCCTGTAAGAAAGCTTATGTTAAATGTGGAGCACCTTCATGAATCAGCAAACCAATAGTCAGAGCAGCAGAATCAGGACTATTGGATTTAGGATGAAAACATCTTCTCAGACAAAAGCACACCCAACTAGAATCGAATGGCGTTCACACACCTCCCGGACTCAAATGTGAACCAGGTTGAGTCTCTGCCGTATCTCCTCAGGGAGTTGAGCGGCCACATGACCAGCTTGACTCTTGCATTATGGACGTCCCAAAGGTAGATGTTTTCATGGGTGATCTGCATTGTGCACTCTCCATAGATATCCAGGTTTGGGGTAGGCATCAAGTAAACATTAAATCTCTCTGGAAAAAAAAAAGGAATAAAAAGAATAGACGTCGTAAGTACTGCAAATTGGGGGTTTGTTGAGATAAAAAATTTAAAAAACACAAATTAAAGCAAATAAATGTTAAAAGACTGGATGTTTGTTGATTTGAAAAATAAATAAATACATAAATCAAAACAATTAATGGTTTACTTATTAAATAAACAAGAAATTTTAGACTTAACAAAACTTAATTTGTTCTTATACAAAATTATTTATAAATATGTTTTAATTATTTTGCATTAACAACACAAATAATGTGACCAGACTGGGGGTTTGTTGATTATGAATACAGATAAAATAAATAACTATAACCACTAAAATGTACATTTTAGTTTTTTTTTTTTTTTAAATGTGATCTTAGAAATGGGATTTATACACTTTTCAATTAATTTGCTTTAACAACATCCAAATACAAGACAAGACAGGGGGGTTGTTAATAAAAAAAAATATAATAATAATTTAAATAAAAGTAATAAAAAAAACAAAAAAAGACAATTAACCATTAAAAAAGAACACTTCTTTAGATCTTACAAAAATAATTTAAATACCTATTTAATTATTTTGCATTAACAACATGCAAATAAATTGACAAGACTGGGGGATTATTGATTTGATAAAAAAAAAATGTATGTATAATAAATTGAATAAATAAATAAATAAATAAACAAACAAACAAACAAACAATTAAAATCATTAAAATATCAATTTTAGACTTTAAAAAACTTAATTATATTTTATAAAAATGGTTTATATACATTTTAATAATTTTTCATTAACAACATGCAAGTAATGTGACAAGACTGGGGGATTGTTGATAAATAAATAAAATATATTCATAAAAAAATCATGAAATCAATTTATAAAATGAAAACTATTTAAATAAAATACTTAATTTCCTCTCATAAAATGATTTATATATGCTTTAATAAATGATTTATATATGCTTTTATGCTGTATAGTATATGCTACCAAGTAAAACAGGATATTTAATGTGAGAAAAAAAAAGTAGAATAGGACCTGACTTTTTTTTTTTTTTTCATTGGGATTTGATTAAATCACTTAAAGTGGCCATTATTTGCCAGAATGGAGCCATGAAGCTAAAGCTGAAGGGGTTGAGGTTGTCAGAAAATGTTGGACTATTTTGCAGTAATGTTATTTAATATATTTTGATTCAAGCACAGATGAAGCTCACCCAACAAACCTAGGGATTTATATTACGTAGGTTGACAAAACTAAGTGGTTTCTTTAAGTAAATGACTCATAGAAGTTTGTGTGGAAGAAAATTCATAACAGGGTAAACAGTTTCTTTAACAGATATGAAAAGGTTGCCGGCTGCTGTTTGATTGGCATTTCTTTTAATAATAATTACATTTGCTTAAAAAAGGGCAACCACTGTGGCGGTACAGTCCATTCAGCTGTCATATTTACAGACATCTAAAACAGCTTGGGTAAATGCAGCTTTTATTTGCGCTGCTGATAGATCCTGCTCTGCCTAAAGATGACAGAGAATTAAAGGGTACGGATGGAGAGCGAGAGAACATCTTAACAGAGCCATCTAGCATGATTATTATTTTTCCGACGGACTATTTTGCAGATGCAGCTCTTGCAGTGCACAAAGGTCAACAGATTGTTGCCATAGAGCCTCAGCCGAGCCAACCGTGGCTGGAGTAACCACACCATCTCAATTAGCTTCGAAAAGACAAGGGTGCACTTCATAATCCAAATTAATAGTGCCTAATTATACCTAATGCTTCAAAATAAGCTATGTGTCTCTCCGGAGGAAGAGGCATTGTAATGTGGGGTCTATTTTAGGGATTGTGAAAATTAACTCTGATTTAATTATCGCAGCCCGCCGTTAGAGGGTCTAATTGAAACGCAAAATGGCAAACTCTCCGCTCGTTATTTCTCAGCTGTCGAATAGCTCAGAAACGATCATTTCGCTGACCTCCAGCTGATATAATCATATACATATTGCGCTCTCGTATGAAAACAAATCAATATTTGCCTGTCATTTGATTGAAAAAAAAATATGATGATCACGGCACGGTGTCTGACGCAGCGTAATGCTCGAATGCTTTAGCAGCACTACGAGATGAACTGATATTGATTTTTGGAATTATGCTTAAAAAAACACTCACATAAACACAGTCACAAGTCAGATCTCAGACTGAAAGTTGCCTTAAAAAGCAGTCAGTGGAACATAAAAAGAAGATATTTTGAAGAATATTGGTAACCAAACTGTTTTGGTTACTATTGACTTCAATTGTATGAAATAAATAGACATTAGACAAATAGACATCTTCTTTAATGTTCTACAAAAAAAAGAAAGTCATCCGGGTTTGACGTTTCTTTTTAAAACTATCCCTTTTTAATATCCATTAATCTCATCTCATTATTTATGCAATTGTAAATGCATTCACACCACCTCTGATCTGAAATAAACAGTCTGTAGATGTATCTAAATACTAATTCAGAAAAGAAAGAAAAACCATGGCTGCTGTAGCGTAAAAAATTACGTGCAATAAATTCTATGTTGAAACAAATAAAATATTTTTTTCTATAGCTACTTTTTGTCTATTTCATGCTTCTCATTTAACACATTAATGACTTTGGGGGTCATTTCTCAGCCACATTTGATATGCGATTAATTTGTTAAAAATTCGAATTGCTTGACAGCCTTTATACATTTTTAATGATAATTTTATTTGTTTATATACATAAACATAGGCTATATACGTATATGTTATATATGAGCAAGGATGAGCATGTGAACAATCAGTGGTTAAAATTCATCCTTACATACCACAGCAGAGTCCAATGTAGGATTCGCAAACTGCTTGCTTTTGAAAGATGGTGTTCAAAATACTTAATTTTGAGTTTTATATTGTGTTGGTTAACTCACATTATTACTGTCTTACTGAAATACTTCTGATATTCAGTTGTGGACCACTATTACATAAAACTGTGTCTATTAATGCAGATTGTCAGTTGTTCTCTCTATTTTGTGGAAAGATTGAGCATGGAGCAAGATTTGTTTTACCAACGTTTATGTTTCATCAGTCATTCACACTAGAGCTCAGCTAATGTATGCACTGTTATTGATACAATTTCCGCATGTTCACCACAATAAATTTGAAAAATACTCAGTAAATAAATAAGTACAAGTAAAATAATCTGTTTGTTAATGGAGATGGACATGCTCTTAATGGTGAGGAATTACAGTGCAACATCTTATAATGTACCTCAAACTAAGTAGCACATCACTGACAAACGTCTTGCTCGAGTCGTCCTTGCGATTGAGGTTCGGGTGGAACCACTGGTTCTTCCAGTGTTATCATCAGACTATTATTTGGCAATGTTTCTACACATTATAATATAAATAACCTGAAAATACTACGTAGTTTACAACATACATGAATTGTTTGTTCATGTTACTTCACAGGGCATTAAAGGAGCCATATGCAAGATGTGCAGTTTTTGTGGCCAAATCTGGTAATGCAATCACTTGCAAATTACTGTAGAGCGGTGAATGTATAAACATTTAAAAAGACATTTAACAGCGGTGTTAAAAATCTAAAAAGAGAGCAATCCATCATGGTTGTTTAAAACAATAAGCTTTAAGCTGTGTCATCAGTAAGTCGTTTCCCATCGTGCTTTTGGAGACCAACTGCGCACGACTGCAGAATCCGCCACTGTGCCTCTTGCGGTCGCGAGAGTTTTTTGACATACGTCAGCGTGACATCAGAGCAAGTCAGACCGCACTCGGACACATTTCTAACCGACATACATCTCGTGCTTATCACCGGTGATCGGTTCAGCACAGATTTTGCTCATCTCAAACAAGACTATTGTTGGTCAGTAGGCGGTCTTTTGTGGATGTTCGAACGTATTCGATCACATGAACGTTTACACTATGAAAGCAGTCGAAGGAGTTTTCCACTACCACTGGACAAGCTTAAAACATTTTACTCTTTTTTATCTTAATACCAGGTGTAAATCAGGCCTTACTGGCAGCAAAGTGTTTTTTTTTTTGTTTTTTTGTTTGCAGAGGTGCTATGTATTCATCCAACTTTCTTCAGCGTCATAATCTCATCCATCTCTATGACAAGCTTCATTATGGGCCGACGCTCTGATGCACGGCAGTACCCATTAGTGCTTAGTAAAGATCCTTGGCCCGAGCAGATCATTTATAAACATGAGAACAGACCTGGAGGGACTGTGTTTAACAAACACATTTGGTCCTTGTAATAGAATCATTTAGGGAGTACAAGAGTAAAAAAAAAATAAATAAATCACCCAAAAAGCTGGGCTCTAATTGGATACTGACCGTTCTGTTCCCTCTGCACCCCTGCTGCTAACAAGTCCGGTTCTCCCAGGCTGATGTCATTAAGTCTGCTGCCCAGACACTCCAAACACAATAACTTCCACCACTCTTCAGCCTCCAGCTCTGTGGACACACACATCCATTTCATCATGTTTATATGCAAACATACAGGAGAAGCTACTGAAGAGACAGCGGCAAACAGGGAACAAGTAGCAGAATTTACAATATATAACACTAATGCAAAAAACAAGCAATTTGCCAAGGCTATAGTGGTGATGAATGTTATTTTTCTAGTCATCGACCAGCTTAGCCTTTCTATGAATATTTATTGAATGTTTAATGTTACAAGAGATTTGTGTTTCAAAACTAAAATAGCCAGTAGTCATATCCAAACAGACAGACATACAGAAGTGACAGACAGACAGGCAAGTTTATAGGTCTGGACACAGTCTAAAAATACTCGCCAAGTGCCAAATGTGAGGAAAAACCATGCTGTCAAGAATGAAGACAGAATTGTTGGACATTTTTAGGAAGCACAATGATGGAAGAAAGAAATTCATACAGGTTTCCAACAACATGACAGGTTTTCTTTTTTAGGGGAACTTTACTATTTATTACACTTACACTCATATGTAAATACTATTTTATATAGTAATGTTTTTCTTTTAATATTTTTTTTAGATTGCATTTTTAATAAAAAAAAATACAGCAAAACAGTAATATTATAAAATATTATTACAATTTAAAATAAACGTTTTTATTTTGAATATCTATATACAGTGTATACATTTACTGTTTTTTTTATTAAAAATGCAATCTTGGTGAGCATAACTTCTTAGTGATTTCTTTCACACACAACCCAGAGAAAAATCATAATTCTTCCAAACTTTTAACTGTAAGTGTATAGAGTGATATAAATAATGCAGAGCTCAATGCACAGTAAAAATAATATTTATGGGTGACACATTTTCTCAGTTTACACATTATTGGCAGGTGTTGCAATAGTTATTTTGGCCCCTGTTTGCACACAAAAGAAAAACACAAATAGCACTCTGTAGGAGTTGAGCATGTTGAGTAAGCCTTTGTGTATTTATGTGACTTCTTGATTTTTTTTTTTTTTCTTGGCAGGCAGTTTCATGGGATTCTTGAAAAGCTCCCGGCTAATCTAGCAGACTCTGAACAGAATCTTTCTAATGAGTAAACCTTGCAAATGAACATTCACTCAGAAGCACCTAATGCAGTTAAGCACAATGACACAAAGGGAGCACAAATTATGACTATGACAACTACAAAATGAGCTCCGTCCACACAACTTCTCCTTGTGACATGCGTTTGAAAGCTCAACATTATGCGATTATATTTGTCTAATTATGCGCCAAGTACAAGTAGTTCGTGACCTGGTCGAGTTTGCGTATTCAGCAGAGCTTGTTTGAATAACAATGGCTGTCTGCTTGATGTTTCCATAAGTATATTTCAGATGTAGTAACTGAAGCTTAAAATTAATACTGTGTCTATTCACATTTTAATTTAGCTTAATTGAGTAATGTGAGCAGGCACCATTCAAAATATTCAGATTTTTTTTTTTTTTTTACTAGAATTTGTTTCAGTGCCAAATGCATCAGTGAATAAGACAAAGTCCTATCAAATAAGTTCAGATGAGTCCAAAAGCTGGAAATAAAACCACAATGCCTTGGATTATCTATAACTTTATTCAATCACACACAAAAAAAATCATTGTCTACATTGTCTCCTTTTTTTATACAATCTTTTTGTTGGAGTTTTTGCATGGCCTCTCTCCTGAGATGGTGACCTTTAAGTGTCTAAATTCACACACACACACTTTTGGGCCCACTGAGTGGAAAATTGGATAAACAAATACTTTATCAGCATGGCTAACTCTTAAGTGCTCAGGCGGCTATGTGCACAAACACAAAGATGCCCAGTGGAATCACAGCAATTTACAGCACAACATCTTCACATGCTTAATGGTTCACTCAGAGCACAGGAAATGAGAAGAACTATATGATGAATAGTCAGGAGAGAGAAAATGGGTCAGGATGGATGAAAATAGATTAATGTGGCAACACCAATTTGATAATGAAAATAATCATCGATGAATTTCATCGATCTGTAGGGTCTCTGAGCCCTGCACGGAGAAGGTGAAGCCACTTTAAAGCACTGAAAAATGCATTTACATGGGAGGGGGCCAGTTTAATTACATTTTGCTGCTTTATTTTTATAAGGTGAGCATTTTCATTTAGCAAAGTAGAGCATCTTAAAAGCAAGAAAGCAATCGTTTTAAATTAACATTAACATGTATGCATGTGACCAAACAGAAGCTATACTTCTTTTTTTTCCCCCTGAAAATAAATTCAAGACCTTGGCATTGCTAATGTTATGCTCTACTGAATTTTTATATTAGGAATATCTACACTACCATTCAAAAGTTTGGGGTCAGTAAGATTTGTTTTTTTTTTTAAAGAAATCTAAAATGCTTACCAATTTGCTGAATTTATTTGCACATATTAATATTGTGAAATATTATTCAAATGGTTTTCTATTTCAATATATATCAAAAAATGTAATTTATAGCTGTGAGGCAAAGCATAATTACTCCAGTCTTTAGGATTCTTAAATGAAGTTCAAAAGAACAGTACTTATTTTAAATAGAAATATTTTGTAACTGTCACTTTTGATCAATTTAATGCATTAATTTCATTAAAAAAAATAAATAAATAAAAAATAATAACGACCCCAAAACCTTTGAACGGTTTATTATTAAACTTATATATTTTTTATTTTATTTTAGAGCTCATTTGTTTTTGGGTGCAAAATGTATACATTATAAAACAATTAAATTTCCACATTAAGAAAATATTGAGCAAAATGTGAGATTGAAATTAGCTATAAATCACAGCCCTCATAGTCAGATATGATAATTCTAAGAGAGAGGGAGACAGTGAAAGGGAAGAAAAGGGTCGGACCAGCACAAGCGTAACCCGACAGACTCAGAGGGAGGTGAGGAAGTGGAAGTGAAGGATCAAGGGAGGTCGAGTTCCTACATGTGGCGGACATGTGAGGGACACAAGCTCCATATGGCCGGAGTTAGTGGGAAAGGGGAAGTTCGAGAGGGGGCGGCTTGTGGACATGTACCTGTGCCAAAATTAAAAGAGCCACAAGGAGAGTTTAGCACACTCACACACGCGCATGAGGTCCACACTGACACAAAGGTGATTTTCTCCCAAGGACAACAAGGTGATCTAATACAGCAGGACAAATTACAAACAAACAAGCACAGAAAAGTCTTTGAAAGCGTCACAGAAGCAACACCGAAGGACTGAAGACTTCATTTAAATGGCCTCAAGGCAAACCCTTGGTGTACGCCCCTATATCTCGCACAGCTCTTCATTTATGCCCTATGCCCGCACTACCCGTTTCCCATTAATATCCTGGCTCTGAAGGGAGTGGAAGAGAGTCGAGGCAGAGCTGGGGGTGGGGAGGTTATTGAGGTAAATGGATTCAGGAGAACATTCCTCGCCTCCCCCTGGCAGTGCGGAAGACCCCAGAGGTGCTAATGATATCCCAGCGGGTCCACCGTGCTGCTCACCCTGTGCAAAACCACTCCACTGCCTCTCCTTCCCGTCTTCCCCTTCTCTCATTCTCTCTCCTCTCCTATCCTACCCGGGAATTGTGCTCGACAGGAAAATGTGAAGGCAAAGGACAAATTCAGTGCTAGATTAAGATTTAGTTTTCTCTTCCTCTGCTCTAATAATGTTTTTGTGACAACATTATTGTGGATGGAATTCAGAAAGAATTATTTGGACCTGCTGTTATTATGGTTTATCAGCACAAACTCGCTAAAGAAATTATATAAAAGTCAGGTCGACTCAAAAAAAGACTGTACGTGTTTGTCTACATTTCACCGCGGATGTACTGTATGCCTGGGTATCGTTCTTTTCAGTGATCTGATAAATAACTGCTGCGATGATCACAAGAAAATGTATACAAATGTCAATTTTTCAATGAAATGCCATTCAATACTGTTGAGTTTTGCGAGGCTCATTACAAATAATAAATATGTTTAAAAAAGGTATTTTCTGATGTGATTGACAATTTAAATACTCATTGTTCAGCATTTTATCTGTGCAGTTACTACGTTAAACTAGATGCAGGTTATCGATTCAAAATATGATGTGAAAAAGCGGATAAAGCATATTTATTAATTTACATATATATATATATATATATATATATATATATATATATATTATTATATATTATATATACACACACACACACTGTGATCAAAAGAATAGCATTTATTTTAAATAAAAAATGATTTGTAATATTGTCCTTCCTGTCACATTTGATGAATTTAACGAGCCCTTACTGAATAAAACCATTAAACCATTTCTTAATAAAAAAGAAAAGAAGTCATATTGACGCCAAACTTTTAAACGGTGTTCAAAAAATCTCCCAAACAAACAAAATGTTACATTTAATCAGGGACAATAATGCTTTATTCGACCCGGTAAAATGTCGATTGTGGTAAACCCCAGAACTGAGTATTAAAACTATTCTAAATTCATTTCGCAAACAAGTTAGTGCTAACTCATCTTTGTATTCTATGTATTTTTTTCCCCCCTGCGAGAACACTTTGATCAGTTTTGACACTGTCGTTTTTCCACTACAAGATTTTCAGTGTGAGAGGAGAGAAAACACATGGGAAAAGACACTTTCTGCTGCCAAGCTAATGGTGAGTAAAGCATCTCATTCATATTTCAAATTCGTGTTTGTGTTTTAAGTCCTTCTTTTGTTGTTTTGTTTTCTAACTGCAGATCTGTCTGTTGCCTTTGGCCATATTCATTCTCTAAGACACAAGCTAAGACACAATTTAAAAAAAAAAAAAAAAAAAAAAAAAATCCCTGTATATCCCAATGGGCTCTTCTAACCTACTAGCCTTAATGTTTTCAGCACCTTCTCCAGTTTCAAGATATAAATGGAATAACTCAAAGAATAAACGATTATCCCTGATTTGGGAAAATCAATACTTGTGCGTCTTGAAATATAGATTAATGAAGTCATTTTGGATACAATCCAGCACTACAACAAAGACTTTTCTCATAGCTGGAGACAATGCTTACCTGACTCACAGGCAAATGTCTTTGACGTCTCATCACAGAAAATAATTGCCACTGCGTGTTTCTTGGTCTCTCGTGGCATTCGCGTAATGTTCTTAATGTTGTGGAGCTCAGTAATCTGCGGAAGAAAAAGACAAAACTCATTACCAAAATTAACAAACTCAAGAGGAGGAGGAAACGAAGAAAGGAGGATGACATTGAGGTAATGTAGTAACTGTTATCTGAAAATGAAATGATTTGAAATTACTGCTGTGCCTGGATTTATGGAGCAATGGAGATGAGAGTTAATGCTTGCCCGCTCTATATTGTCACACTGATGACAAACACCAAAGAGCAATTGGACATTGGTAATTTAAAATAAATCTTAATGTTCATAATGTTTCTATACGTTCAAGTATGTTTTAGACAGGGTTACATCATTGTGAAAACGTGCCACGGTTCCTTGTCCTTGCAATACAATGTTGTGACCTCAAAAAATGTAGTTTAGTGCATGATTTGTAAATGTGTACATTTAGACATTTGTTTGGCTTTACTAACAAAGTAAACTTGCTCAGTAGCTCACCTGGTACAGCATTGCACTTGTAATGCAGAGTGCTATAGGAGTAATAAACAAAATTTACCATAAAAGAGATCAATGACTTTTAGCAGCAAAAATGGCATGGTTGCATTGCATTATGTCACATCTGTACACATAAAGAAGGAGTCTCGGCTAGTAGGCTATATTGTGTGTGAGGATGTTGGAGGTGGAGATTTATAGCCTTTTCTCACAGCACTTGATATAATTAAACTTATCAATTTGATGGCGGATCCGGAAAGGTAACAGTGGCTACAGAAAAAAAAGAGGACCCATACGAAAACATGTATTTGATTGTTTAAAGGGGCACTATGCAGGAATCCCGTTTTTGTCAAACAGCGACCCCTATAGTTGCTGCGGAGTACTTGAATTTAACGTCACTGTCGTAAATACCACATGGCGTGTTACATAGTATACAATAGTACATTGTGTATAATTAGTTGTTTAATGAGATCTAATATATGTTGTTAGAGAGTGTTTCACGTAATTAAGTACATAGATCCGAAAATTATCCCCATGGACTTTATTGGTCCAGAGGTTCTGGGTTCTGATCCCTACTAGTTGTATAGTTTTTTTTCCTCATCAAAACCGATTGTTTATTAGTGGTTGTATTTCAAGCAGGGACACGTTTTTTGTGCATTAGGTTTTGTGATTTCACCGTAACAAATAGAGAGTCTCTCAGTCTCCGCAACGGATTGAAGCGCGCATCCGTGTGTGAACACTGTGCGCGTCACAACAGAACACTGTATTCGTGCCACTGATCGCAGCGGCAAGCACTTTGGTCACTTGATTTCAAAAACACATTTCAGATCGCCTCTTGATTGCCGAGGCGGCCACCATTCAACCCGAAAGAAGTCATATAACCATTTCTATAACTCTGAAGCTGTTCAGTTAAGCTAAAAAAACTGCATAGAATCCCTTTAAGTGCAATTTAAGCGCAGAACTCAATTTACTACTTAAAGCTACACTGTGTAACTCTTTTAGTTTATTCTTAGCTAAAAACACTTAGTTCTTTCAAAAATATATGTATATTTACTTCGTTCAAGTAATAAAGTATTCTCGTGAGTGTATAATATGCCATTGAAAATACATACGGGTAAGGGGTTCTAATGTCTGTCGCCATGTTGCCCCTCCATCTTGAAAGTACATAAGCCAAAGAGGGACATACCCGTTAATTCAAGCTTCGCCTTTCGCGTTTATGTTTGAGTTAACGCTCATGGACGAGGTCGAACTGGAAGGAAGCCATGTTAATCTTGGACTACATTGGCCACCGTAGGACTTAAAACCAAATCGGAATTGAGAGGAACAGAAACTAATATTCACTGGATGGTCATATACCTTTTCACCGCTAGATGGAGGTAAAAATCACACAGTGTAGCTTTAATGGCGGCTTTATGTGTGAGCACAAATCTGCAGGAATGAGTAAAATTATGAGCAATCCCACGCCGAAATTCAAGCCCTGTAACACAAACAATATTTATCCAAATATTGAATAACTGGATATTGAATCATGAAACGAGTGAGTGAAGGGAGGCAGGTTTGTGTGTCAACTCGTTGTCAGAGAGATTAAAGAGCGAGAAAGTGCAGCTGCTGGATCTATTCAGCAGAAAATTACTATTTGTAGCATTTCAGATATGCAAAATTTAAAAAATATATATTCTTTAACTCTACATTGCACTTAGTTTTATATTTCAAATGCCTTTTTAAAAGACAATTGAAAAATGTTGCCTATATATATTATATATAAAATTCAACCTGCCAAAGTGGCTAGTAGGAGTGACTGCATTACACTCCACTGCTGAAATCCACCTGCATTTTGCGGGTTGACGGATGTTAATGTCAAGCCATGGTGGAATGTTATTTTCAAACACAATAGAGCATCAACCTTTTAACGCCACTCACCAAACATTGCATTTCCAGACTGACACGTTACGTACAACAACCTACCCGCTTTTAGTGCCGCTGACTGGACATTTCACTTTGAAAGTGTTGCAAAACTTGCAAGACACAACGTAGTATAATTATACAGAAATGTCAACACAGACACATATTTCTTCACGCAATGCTTTATTATACTTAAGGAGATTGGAAAATGGCCTCAAGATGACTTAAAATTGTTTAAAATAAGACAAAACAATCATCAAAATGAGCCAAAACAATTAAAAATAAAGATGCTCCATATTTTAATTCACCCATCAGCATTTTAACCCTAATCTTAAAAGTGTAATTTCTATAAAGTATCTATAATAGTAGTGTTTTATATATTACAACCACATGGACATTTTTATAATTAATATATATACCTTTAGTATAGCCAAGCTCTAAAATAATCTATGGAGGTAGAAATTGTGTAAGTAAAAATATTTTAAAAAATCTATTTTCTTATCACGAAAAACGTAAAAATCATGGGGCCTTTGAATAATTGTTTTGGTCAAAATTTAGAGTCAAGATAATGAGATAATTAGCGATATGAGTAAGCTGTCACCATACTGCAATTAGAAAGAATGAATGCTGATTTTGTTTTGTGATTGCTTGCGCTTTAATAAATTAAGCTAGCAGGGATGTGAATTTGAATACAATTTTTCATCCATGAATTAAAATATTTTCACATCCATGACAAACACTATTACCTCAGAGAAAACCAGCCTACTTACTGACAGTACAAAATAAGCACAGTCTATATTTAAAATGCTCTTCATGGTACATTTCACTTCATCTAGCATCACACTCCTCAAAAAAGTTTTTACACAAAGTTTACCAACACTTCTTCCGAGCTTTGTTAAAATAGTTAAAATGTAGTCGAGACAGCAGACACTACACCTCACCTCTCAGCTTTGCCGGTGGCATTTCTTGGTTTGAGAGTATATGATTTGCCTGTGGCAACAGGGAAGGTGTTTGAATCTGAATGTGTTTGTGTTGTGCTTGAGTGTGGGCTGAAGATTTTTCAGTCTGATGAGGGCTTTGCTCAAGCCAAGGCTTTGAAAGAACTTCTCTAGCTTTGAGAATCACAGTGAATGGATGACGCGCTGATGATGCGTCTGTTGAAGCAACTTCTGAAAACTTCTAAGCTTTCAGCAATGTGCTAGCCTCGAAAAGCCAGACCTTTGATTAGACATCAAACAGTCAGACCCACACTGCATGTTATTCTGGCCAAGCAGTCGGTCCATGACGCCTGAGGATGAGACTAGTAATGTACAGTCTAAAGAATGTTTATACAATGGTGTTGTTATTGTTAACTACCTGTATTAAAAATGGTTTTCGGTAACTGAAATAAAACTGAACTACAGTTGTAGTGCTGGGCAACGATTATTAGTAGAACTAGAATTATAGCAGAATTATTTTGTGTGTGTTTACTGTTTATATATATATATATATATATATATATACATATATATATATATATATATATATACATACATGTATATATTTAACAAATATTTACATGTTAACTAGCACTTAAAGGAACACGCTGACTTTCCCCCAGAGTTAGATAAGTTCATACATACCTTTTTGATCTCCGTGCGTGCTGTAACTCTGTCTGACGCACCCACCAATAGCCTAGCTTAGCGCAAACACTAGATATAAATGGCTCCAGCTAGCATACTAATCCCAATAAGTGACAAAATAACACAAACATTTTCCTACAGTATTTACATGTTGTGATTTGTATAGTCACTGCGTGTACAAATAACAAGGTCATATGTGAGATATTCTCAGAAGGCGAAGCACTGCTACTTGGGTGGAGGGATTGCCGCAGCACCTGAGACGCACCGTGGTGTGGAGCAGAGAGTTCTTTCAGAGTTGGAGGAGTAAAAGTGTCAGCAATTAGATAGTAAAAGCATAGTTTACAATGGGTGTTCGCTGTATTGTAAAGAGCTGTGAAAGGGGAGACCAGGTAATACCATGATGTTTCTTAGAAGTCCAATCAAATACGCTGACCTTATGAATCAATGGCTTTCTCTAGATATAATGTTAGATCCAAACACACCTGAAGAGATCGTCAAGGACCATAGTGTTTGCTCAGTACATTTCACTGAGGACGACTATTTTGAAAAAATGGAGTTTTGCCTCACGGACCATGAAAAGTGTGCTGAAGGATACGGCGATCCCATCAATAGCACAGACAGGACAAAGTGGATCACCTGTCAGCAGGGCCTGAAATTAACACCCGACCACCTGCCAAATGCGGGTGAATTTTTCTATTGGCGGGTAACACTGTCAATCTACCTGCCACATTGGCAGGTAGCCAATGAGAATTGAGTGATTCATTAGGATTTTTACATTTCAACTAAGTCCGCCATTGCGTTTGACTTTAGCTAAAATGTGGCGGCACATTACTGAGGTAAAGAGGCCAGCTGAAACAAACAACCAACAAAAAGATGAGGATGAGAAAAAGAAAAGTAAAAGAAGACATTTTAATACAAAGTGGACAATTGGCGGCAATGGCAAGGTTCGTGAGCGGCTGATTTATGACAGCGACTGTTGTTTCGGAACGTTCATGCGATCAGAAGTAGACGAGGGCCTTTTCCGACTACGTTTGGATGTGCGAGTATTAAACTGTTGGTGAGATGGGATGAGATAATGTAACGCTGACGTAGCATACAGTACAATGACAGTTGCACAGATGTGTGTGCGTGTGCAACTGTGCATGTTGGGAGTTGGGAACCAGTGAGAAAATATCCGGTACCCGGTAACTTTACCAGTAATAACAATATTAATTTAGTTCATAGTTCCTAACCGCTGTAACTGAAAGCTGTCAGGATCTGTCTACGTGACTAAATCAGCCATCAACACAGCCGCGTGTGATTTGTTTACATACGAGCTGCGGTAGGTCTATCTGTTGAGTAGCCTATATACTATATAGCCTATACTATATATGTTGTGTGAGTGTCAAAATCAATTAATAAAAAGATTTTAAAAAATGTATGTTCTTAGAGTTATTATTATTACTTGACCGCACTTAAATGTGTATTATTACAAGTAAAAGAACAATATTGTTAAATTCCCGTTTTTTTTTCACCTTTATATAAAGGTGAAAAAAAAAACAGGAATTTCACAATATTGTTCTTTTAACCAGCCATTTTTGGCTGAGGCAAAATATGAGGCAAAAAAAAGTGGCTGGTAAAAAGTCTCTGTGGCCGAAAAAGTTAATTTCAGGCCCTGCCTGTCAGTGTTTCATTATGTTTTAGATGACTAGCCTACTGTAACATTCACTAGTTATTTTGTCACTTATTGGGATTAGTATGCTAGCTGAAGCCATTTACATCTAGTAAAAGTTGGCATGTTACTTTAAGTAAAGTAATGCTATTAAAATCAAGTTTTCAGTGTTTTCTTATAGAAATCTGAAGTCTTCCTTTTTGGGACTTTAGCTTATTCACCATATCCCCAAGAGTTAGATAAGTCCATAGTACATACCTTTTTCATCTCCGTGCATGCTGTAACTCTGACGCACCCACCGCTAGCCTAGCTTAGCACATGGCTCCAGGTAGCATACTAATCACAATAAGTGACAAAATAACGCAAATATTTCAAAGTGAGTATTAAACAGATAATGAATCTCTCACCTAAACACCACACAAAAAACAAGAGTTATAATAACAGTAACAACTGTGTATTTCCATTGAAATAAGTTGGCTTATTGAGGTCACCACCCTACATGTGATTTCATGCTATTAAATTGTTTAGAGTGCCCCTATTATGCTATTAAGTTTCCTAATGTTGTTTTAGAGTTAAAAAAATTATATTTGCACATCACCACATTTTTAATGATTCTCAAACAACTGGTCAGATGAAATCATCTCTCTAAATCCCTCCTTTCCATGAGCTACTTTGCTCTGATTGACCAGAAGGCTCAGTCTTTAGTGATTGGTCTACAGTGTACAGCACCTGCATTGAAAACGAAAATGCCCATTGCCATAACAACATCACCTGTCCAGAGGTGTCCTACACCATAAACTAAACACAGTAACAAACAATGATTTCGATTTTACCATATTAATCCGAGCGCGAGTACATTGAACTCTGCTGTGGTATCGTGGTCTTCTCGACATGATGCTGTCCAGTGTCCACAGGAATCAGCTGTAGTGTTTGAGGTTCAAGTTTTCCCTGGTGTCTGCGTGCACAATAGGTGGGCAGGCAATATGCTAATGTTTCGTCTTCTTGACGTCACAACAAAGCGGCTTATGACTCGTTTGAAAAATGATTAATTTAATTGACTCAGAGTCAACTCTTACTCTTGAAAGACAGTAATATTATGGACGGTGCACTTTCAGATTTAAATTTTTGCAGGATGTTTACATTCACTTAGAGCTATGTGACACACTACATGAAAGGTCATTTTCAAAAATCCATAATGGGGCACTTTATTTAACATGAAAATAATTTAACATTTTCCTAAAAAGAGCTTGACAGTTTAATGTTAAGATCAGATGTATCTATTATATCTAGTATCTATAATAAATAATAAATATATACTTCAATAGCAAAAAAACCTGAACTAGTGCAGAGTTACACACCTACACCAGATCTGCCGGTTACAGCATCTTCATCACACATACTGAAAAGCCGGGATGTTGCTTTGTACCACATTTACTCATCTCCCTCATGTCTAATGTGTAATCTTATTAGCAGGCTTGTTAGAGCTGATAAAGGCACGTTCCCACAATGCAGCGACATCAAACCGCGGTGTCACGGCCATAATCTACAACCGCATCTTTGCTCATTATTCTAGAATGTTCTGCATGTTCGCCGCATAAGATCATCAGCCATCGCCCTGATAATGAGCCCTAATTGGAATATTTTCAAAAGGGCTTGAGGACAGGAAAGGGATGTAATGCTTGAAATTATTCACTTTAAAAGAGGGTCTGGTTCCTGGGCGGAAAGCTGGTGCAATTGAAAAAAGCCGTTTATGGATTTTAATTTGGCTGTACTATGTTATAAAACTACTTCAGATACTGCAAAAAAATCTGATAATTAGAAAAATAAAATCTCTAAAATTCTCTGAGGGTATATTAAGTAGACTATAAAAATGGTCTAAAACTATCAGGCATGATCAAATAACCATTCAAAAGTTTGGGCTCAGTTTTTTTTAAGGAATTAATACTTAATTCAGCAAGTATGCATTAAATTCAAGGTAAAAAAAGACATTTATAATATTACAAAAGATTTATATCTCAAATAAACTTTTTTTTATTCAAATAATCCTGAAAAAAAGTATATATCAACAATTATTTTTTTGGAATGTTTGTTGATCAGCATATCAGCAGAGTGATTTCTGAAGGATCATGTGACACTGAAGACTGGAGTAATGATGCAAATTCAGCTTCACATTACATAAATAGATTACATTTTAAAATATATTAAATTAGAAAAATGTTTTTACAGTATTTTGGATCAAATAAATAAATATAAAATGCAAATATAAATGTGCATTTTTATCTAAATAATATTGTAAAGTGATAGTAATGTCTGTAAAGTCCAGACTCTTTTATATCTATATCCAAAATCTTTTATAAACCCTTTATATATATATATATATATATATATATATATATATAACTGTGATTCGATGCTAAAGCGATTAATTGGGATCTTAGTGTGTGTGTGTTTGTGTGTGTGTGTGTGATTATAAATACTTTGCTTTAAAAGTACCAAGTAATGACCCATAAAGAATTAACGTAGCCTACAATATATTTTATTAACATTGCAAAGGACCAACAGGAAAATAAATGTGTGCCTGAACTAGCAGCATACTTGTAGTAAATGAATAATATAACAACGACCGGTACAGATTTCACACTCAGCCATCGCGTGACTCGCGTCTCTGTTACAGTGCACGCTACAGACGGTCCGGGCACTGCACTTCCGTGCTTCAGAGTTCCGTCAATATTACGTTATTGTAAATATATATATATATATATATATATATATATATATATATATATATTACTTTTTTAAATCTATTTTTGATATTTGTGAATCAATTCAGAATCGTCCACGCATCGCGATACATCTAAGAATAAATTTCCCCCCCACCCCATCCATCAGTTTCTGGGGGGGGCGCTACTGTATTGGGGCGGCTTGCTCTGATTGACTGGGTACAACGTCCGGTCAGGTGGCGGAAGTAGCATTACAATGGTATTTTGTGTGCTATTTAGTGAAGAGGCAAGGAGTTTTTCGGATAATATTTTACTATTTAAACTAAGTAGCAAACCTTTATGAGAGATGTCGTTACGGAGCTCAGGGACAACATGTGCTGTTCGCTAACTTCTGAGTTCTCCTACAAAGTGACGTCATAACTTCGGCACTCTATATATTTCAGCTTGGAGTCAAGGGTTTTATTTGTGATAATGCATGATGCCAAATTGTGCAGAAATAATATTTGACCAGGCTGCCATACAAAGAAATAATGAACAGGCAAAAACAACCATGTTCCCTCATATTCAAAAAAAAAAAAAAATATATATATATATATATACAATCATTTCTTAATATTTTAAAGGTTTGATAGAACTCACAAGGTCATTAAAAGCAAATTGGATGGATGGATGGATGGACGGACGGATAGACGGATGGATAAACAGACAGACAGATGGACAGAGACAGAAAGACAGAAATATTTATTAAGAAATGCAGTAAGAAATAATCTATACTTTTTGTGCTCTATTTGTCAACCACCTGAGGAAATCGCAAACTCTTGCGAGCAATTTCAGAGCGGGTTGGGAGGAGGTACGCTCTAGACCATCTGATCAAATTCTTAAATGGCAGTGACTTTCAAAGCCATCGGAGCGATGTCAATATCAGATACAAGTCTCTAACTAACACTCCACAGAGAACACATCATATTATCAACTGACACAACACAAATAAACAGACACGTGCTTACGATTACACCTTTAACCTGAGCTACTGTCAGCTCCAAAAGTATCACACAATGATTGCTCTGGAATGCCTATGACCCCTGCTAACTAAATAATTAGACTCAGAGATCCTTTCCCAGCATGAACCCTTGAACCAGAGCCCTCATTGTCAGAGGAACTTCTCAAAAGGGACGTTGTGCAAATAAATGATGCAGGTAATGAATAGAGCTATCCTTGAGCCTGGAATGAACCGAGGGTTAGCATGTTAAACAGAATGGACCCAATTTGCTAATTTAGTGATTTGTAAACATGATCAAAATGAAGTTTTCAATCAAGATGAAACATGGAAGTCACAATTACCTTGTGAAAGCTTCTGAAGTAAGCAGCTTTTTCATCTGGATATTTCTCTAATCGCCGTGGTCCTTTACTGGACGCCTTCTTGAATACCAGCCAGCATCTTCTGAAGATCTGTTACAGAAAGATGCATTTGTATTTACTGCAATGTACCACAAAACAGCAATTCATAAATTCAATTAAAAACAGCATTACGTGACAAGCCGAATAACAAGAACAATACAATGTGTGTATTATTTAAACATAACATATTGATTTAAAAAGCATATTTAAATATAGACAGCACACACACACACATATATAAATAAAACTTCTTACGGTTATATGATGTAATAAAGACAGCACAAACACGTGTGCCGTTTATATTTATTATATTATCCAAATTTCTTTAAAATAAGTACATAACATTTGGTAACACTTTAGTATACTTTAGTGTCCTTCCTTGTTACAAGTTAGCTCTAGTACTTACTATAGTAATAACAGTAAATTATTCATAATTACATCCACCTAACACTAATCCTAGTGGTGTTGTTACTGTAATTATAATAACTCAGAACTTAAATGTATAATTACACCTTAACATGCACACCTTACAATAAAGTGTAACCAAAAATTCTCCAAAAATAATGACAAGCAGTTTATTATTGACAGCATCTACCCGCTTATAAATGATTTTTTCAGACAAATAAAACACTCTGGCCATACTTTCTAATGTTACACAATGTACCCCTGAGCAATGAGCCACGAAAGAGCCTCTAGATCTCAATTTCATCACTCGCTTCAGTGTCCATTCGTCCGATTTTGCCCCTGCATTCTATTTAAAGAAATAAAGGACTAAAATTCGCTCTGAAACATTCCTCCAAGCAACGTCTGAGACTTTCACAGATTAAACACTCGCATTCCCCCGACAGTGTTTCAAGGTCAACAGAAAAGAGAGTGTGAGAGAATGTGCACAATCTCTATTAAAAAAAAGAATCCACAAACACTCACACATACTTATTTCAATCCATTTCCCCCGACACCTGTGTTTATTTTCTTATACTGGCCCAAAACAGACACAACTCTCTCCACAAAGGGCATGGGGAAAATCATAGCTTTGCCCATCAATAACCCAGCAGTTCCATAATTAACAAATGAGGTTTGAATGGCCTTTTCTCAGTGGGACCCTCCACATCTGTTTAATATCTCTGATTTATTCACATAATAAAACATGCTCTCTTCAAATGTAGTTGAACCTTTTACGATGGATATTTACTGAAGCTTAAGAGTCCACCTATATCAGTGCCAAGGTTCACTCTGTGCTGAAAAAAAAATCTGGGCTGTTTCAACCATGTTTGAACCTAACAGTTTTTTAACGGATTAGTTAGTCCATATTTGACCCAAAGATGGGTTGAAACAAGAGTGTTCATTTTCTTAATATTATACTTTAGCTTTCAAAAAGAAATTCTGCCACCTACCAAAAACAACCCAACTGTCAACCCAGCACTGGGTAAATATTGGACAGAACACATGGGTTATATATATATATATATATATATATACACACTGTGTGTATATATATATATATGTATATATATATATATACTGTATATATATATATATATATATATTGGTAATTTAGGAAGTCCAGTTAATTCTCCTAGTCCTAGTAATTTTTAAAGTGCAGTAGTTGTATTTGATGGTAAGTTTATTCACAAAATAATACCTTTAGAAAGTGATATGAGCAAAAGGAAAAAAAAAATTAGACTGTACATTCTGTTTCGGGCCGAACAGAGAATTAAGTGCAACCCGCAATCACACTTAAAAACATAAGACCCAGCATGCTTTTTTAGGTTAGGAGGATCATCCTGTTTCAGGCAGCCAAAATTCATTTGTTGATGTATGTGAAATTCTGTTGGGATTCATATCCATGGGTGAGATTAATTTGTTTACTTCACTGATGTAGTGCATGGAAAAAGAACAATGCTTAATTTGGCACTCAACATAATTGATCTGGGTGCATTCAACGCCTGGTGCTCCTGATACCTGCTATGCGTGTCGACCCAAAAGGTTACACGCAAAATAGCTCCATTTCATCCACATTGTTGCAAATGAGACAATCAGAAATAATGAAACACTGTGCACGCATGCCATCTGTTATCAAATGTGGTTATGGGAATTTGAGATTCACAAGCCCAGTACGCTCTCTGCTATTTTCTGGACTTTTGGGATGCCGACCGTTGTGATAGACGGGGGTGCTGCTTATTGATGTACATTCATATTAACATGCATGCACCCACTGACAATTCACTAATATTCATTTTCATTTATGTTTTACAATAGCATAACCTATCTATAATCTCATCTTTTTATTGATTTTAGTCTAGGAATTCAATTTTAAGCAGAGCCAGCTAAAAGAAACCGGCATCAACCATTCATTTCGAATGAATTGTTTCGACATTATGACATTCAGCTACCTCTTGACCTTCTAGATGCAAACTTTCAGATTTTTCTCACACCAACACTGTTTTTATGACACTCTTTTAGAGTCCTAGAAAACAGCCAAGTAGATGCCCCATACCCTATATATTATATATAATACATTTTTGCATTATACAAGTAAATTATATATATTATATAACAATTTTTTATATAAGTAAATAGTTGTAGTATAATAATTAGCAAATAGTTAAATTAAATGGTAAAAAGTGTTTTGTGGTGTTTTTTGCATATATTTTTTAATTTACATGGAAGTAATGTCCAACAAATTTATTTTTTAAATTAAATTTATTGCTCTGCAAGTTAGTCTGGCAAAGTATGGGGTGAGAATTATTGCATTATTGCAAATAAATAGATTATGATCCACAAATAAATGTAAAGAGATTCACAAAAATATATCAAATTCACAATGAGTCCACTTATTTTTCTGCAACTCAATGCTAGAAGTGTTTCAAAATCCACAAATACGTGAGGGGATTTACAAATGCACAGAAAGCGGTTCACAAATAAACGCCAAGCAGAGTTGTGTTTGTGGCATAAAAAAACATTTGTGAATATACAGTATATATATATATATATATATATATATATATATATATATATATTAGCAAAGAGCTCATTCAAACCCATTTCCAATCCATCGAAATCGCGGCACCAATCAGAAACGTTGAGCCTTGTTTATATTCGGCGCGTCCACACGCACGCGAAGTTCCGCGCGGCAAAAATGACAAGTTCAGTGTGCAAGACCTGATTTCGTGGCTGTGTGCACGGCTTTATTTATTTATTTTTTAACAGCGTGCGCGACGCCGCGTCCGAGGATGACCCACTTCAAGCCCTGCCCAAGCATGTAGCCTACGTCTCAACGCACCCAGTTTGCGCGTCTAAATTGTAAAGTTCATTGCAAAGTGTTTTTGTTAAGGTTTTGTTTACTGTTTAATGGAAAGCACATTCACTTCTAGTTGTCCTGCTGTTCATTTTAAATAAACGTAGAGCAAGTAGCTAATCAGTGTCTGCACAATTTGCTCTGAGAGAAAATGCAAAAAAAATAATAACAATAATTTACCCGGTGACCTCAACCCATGCCTTGCTCTGATTGGTTGTAACTCATGACATCACGAGAGGTTGAGTCGTGTGACAGCTCTGGATATCTAGCATGCTAGATATTTTTCTGAGCTGCGAGCGTCTTGAGGCATTGTTGGCTCTAATATACTAACAGATTGGCGAGCGTTCATCACCAGCTAATCCCCTGCGATTTGCACGTGATAACATCCTGACCTGTCGGCGAGCTCAACTATTTGCAAATCGGGCTTAAATCAAGCTTAAAATCATGTAGTGTGAACTAAGTCGTTCTATAACAGACGAACGTTGCTCTATACGTCATCTTCATCGCTCTGATTGGTTTTAGGTCTATCCAATTGCGCTAGGCATTTGAGCTATGTCTGTTGGTGACGCCCCTTTGGAAATGATTCGTCTATGAAGTTTTGCCAGACCATAACTCAGTTACAACAGAGAATGGTCTAGTTTTAACCAAGGGTAAAAATGGTGGTAAATGAAACCTAAAATGTAGGGTGGGCAATTTTCGAAGAGGCTAGCTAGCTAACAGTGAGCTAGCTTTGAAAGCACAAGATAACACCTTCCCTTCAGAGCCTCTCCAAAGCCACACCTCTTTCAAAAACACATGAACGCGTGTACAGTACATCACGAGAGATGGTAAAACTACCCCCGGTCTCAAAAAATATAATGTTACAATAATTATGATTAAAAAAAAACAACTTAAAGAGTGACCTGTACCAGCTGACTGCAGCAGATTCCTTTCTCCATTGATAGTGTTGCCATTGAAGCTCATAAATGCGAGTCACGAACCGCTCTGAGAATAAAGTCAGGGTTTCCAAATTACAGTAGTTATGGCGTGAATGCAATATAAGCTCATTGTTTTGGTTCAGTTAGAACTGTAAAAGGTGGCTGGTGTTTCAGATGGAGTGCATTTGCACTGACATCTGTCTAGCTATGTTTTGTCACATAACAAGTAGTTCGGAAATCAAACCAAACTTGTCAGTATAAGTAAGGCTGGCACCAATATCTCTTAAAGTTCATCCAAACATGATTCAGTAAAACTGACTAATGTTTTTTTTTTCTTCTTTTTAAAAAAGCTGCTGATTTTCTGCAACAACCCAAATAGGTGCCCACTGATTTTTTTTAAGGTTGACACGGGTAAGTAAATGCAACTTGAGTGTGTAATAGCTTTATATAAATGCTAATTCTGACCATGGCATTTAGATTTTTTCACAGTATTATCCCCAAATAAACACACTATTCTTAGCCAATTTTCACTTTAATGCAACCATGGCCAAAGTCATCAACCCTAACTATGACTGACATGAATGCATTTGCAATCAGCCACCCTCTCCATCACTTAGTGAAGCTCAATGGACGGTAGGAGTTCCAGGCAGACAGTATCTCTCTGAGCTCTCTGATTGCAAACCGAAATTTCAAAGGCTGATTAATGAACAAGTCTTCTGTCTCTGAATTGAATTGTTTAATTATGAATCAGGACACTGTGTACCCTCCAAACCGTCAAAATTATATGTACACACACACACACAAGGGCTCTTCAGTGGAAACACAGCCAGGTAAAT